GCGGCGGGCAACGGGGGAGGGACGGCGGAGGACAGGAGATGCGGCGGCGGAGCGAAGGCGGAGACGATGGGGTTACGGACGAACGATGGCGCAGCAGCCGGAGCGACGACGGAAAATTTTGCGGCGGCGGCGATGTTACGGGATGACTGAAGCTGAGCGCGTTTGAGTTGCTGACGCTCTTTCTTGTGTGCGTTTTGATGGCCGCCTAAGGCTTGGGAATTGGCAAACTCTCTGCAGCAGTATTGACACTCGTACTTCCGGTCGCCTCCGCCGCCGCGTTCGCCGGCTACAGAGACGGCGGAGGAAGCGGGAGGGAAGGCGGTGGGATCGGTGGAAGTGGCGGAGAAATCGTCGTCGATGTCTCCGTCTACGCTGAAACCGAAGAGCTTTAGGCGAGAAGTCGCCGTCTTTGAACGAAAGTCAAGCTCCGCCATTAATATATATATGTATATGTGTGTGTGTGTATCTATACACACAGAGAAGAGAAGGAACCTTCGGTCTGAGAGACACAAAGAGAGAATGTAATAAACGAGGGCGCATGGGTAGGGGTATATATACACAGGCATATATATATGTATAGGATATGTGTAAGTGAGATCGGACTCTGTACAGTAACATGGGAGACACTGTGCATATGTCAGAAAACACAAAGTTTCTTTTTTTTTTTTTTGTTAATGTTTGAATGTTTTTTTTTTTCAGATCGGACATCAGAGGAGAGAGAACAAGACAGTGAGAGTTGGAGTTTTAGGAACACGAGATTGTGGGGCCCATAGGGAAACTCTTTTTTCTCCACTTTGGAAAATTTTATAGTTTGGTTCGACACTTCACTTTCACGATTTCCTCCTCCCCTTTGGGTAAATTGCATGTTTTGCTTATTTTTTTTTAAAAAATATTTATTATTACTTATTTATTTATTTCTTGTCTTATTTGATTTTTCCCCTGCCCAAAAATAAAAAACACTTTCTGTTCTTCCGTTCATCATCTCTCCAACAATTCGGAATTATAAAGACTAATCACTTAATGCATAACCATCAATCTTGTTATTATATTTATATAAATAAATAGATGCACAGCAATGATTTGAGATATATATATATATATATATATATATATTGATTCCTTGACGCGAGGATGTCGGTTCAATAAAGATTATAGAAATGGATGAATCTTGTATCGAATTATATATTCATTTATAAAAAAATTTATATCACATTCCAAGGCGTTCACTACAAACCAGAGAGAAGGCATCATATTCTATGCAACCTTGAGTTACAAGAATATTCATCAATTCCATATGTACACGAATACAAGTCAAGCAAAGCAGCAATCATCACTTTCGAGAGCGCTGTTTGACATATTTATCTACCATTTTAAATATTTACATATTTTATATAATTAAGAAGATTTTATAAAATAAAATAAAAAAGAAGAAAAGACGAGAAAACTGTGGTGCATGTGACATCGCAACGTATGGTAGAAGGCTATAAGAATTTACCCGTTACATCGCTTTTTTGGCAGTTCAAAGTGTAAAATGAATCCGACGTTTTTTTCGGTTCATCAAAGACTTTCGTGCCTTTAACCCGTGGAGTGATTGATGCCCAATCTCTATGCCACGGTGTGTACACATATCAAATCTTATATATATATATATATAATATGTGTGTGTAGACTATGTAGATATATATATAGAGAGAGAGAGAGAGACTGTATTAAGGATCGCATTGTATGTATCTCGTAAGAATTTTTTTTTGTTAACCTATCTCGTAAGATTTTTAGATGTCAATGTGTAGTTATCTATAATTGATAACATGAATTGAATACACATTCGATTAATTATATATAAACACTAATGATCTATGATTCACATGTTTTGATACTTTCTATAAATCTTATTTTAAAGATAATTCTTTCTGTCGAAGTGTAGAGTCAAAAACAATACTGTGAATCCTATCCATTCAGAAACTCAATCGATATATATATATATATATATGTTATTTTTACTATTTCGTTTTCTTGATGTAATTAGATTGATGATTATTTTTTCTTCCGGTATTGTTGAAATCTTCTAAAATATAATTATTAAAATTTTCGCGTTCGGTGTGTTGTTAAAATCTTCTAACAATATATATCTATATATATATATATATACACTCTGCCATCGTGTTTATGTATGTCTACATGCATGCTTACATCCTACGCTTATTAAAATGGATAAAACTATTCAATGAACTATATATAATCGATTGGCCTATAAACTATAATGAATTGTGGTAGATACTTTGGACCAACCTGCTTTGTGTATCCTTATTGCATGGAAAGATTCAACTGCTTTGGTCAGTAGGACCAATCACATGTCTTGTGGGGAAATATAATTAATCTATTATCCCAAATCAAATTAATTAAGAACCTTGGGCAAAAAAATTTCATTAATCAAGGTCTTAGAAAAATCAACCTAGTAATTTAGTAATCCATATAGCATAATCATTATTATATATACATTTTGTGGGCACACATAAACTGCTTGTACATATAAATCATTATTAGATCATTCAAGGGTTTTTGGTAAAACAGTAAAGGCATTTGAGTATGCTATCTACATGTAAACTGTAAATTTTCGAACCTACAAACACATGTATATAAATTATACTATATATATATATATGTCTATATAGACATCGTATTTATATTATACTATATTACATATGATGGCACCATTGTTGGTGTGCTTAAATGAAATGTTCAGGACATAAAAACAAAATAAAAAATTGTTCATTCCAAACTTGCTCATATATAGGCGAACAACGCCGCAAGCCTCGTGTGTACGTATATAAACGCATTTTGTATATGTATAATATATATATATATATATATATATATATATATTTGGTTGTCTTGTGTGTGTGTGCATAAAATATGCCATGCCGACAAACAGGAGAAGAAAAGTCGAAGGGCGGAAAAACGGAACCCTAAGGAGTTTCGGACATGGAAGTTAATGTAAGAAACACGAGACTGAAAAGAATCCAACAAAGGAACAAAGAAACTGCCCACACATCCGAGTTCTTCATGGACCCACGTGTCCCTTTTCGCATTATCGTGCGTATCTATTTTCAGATATGCCCTCATGCATGTCCCATTTGATTTCCCACACAATCTCTCTCTCTCTCTAGATCCATTGGCTTTACATTATTAATCCATGAAAGAGATAAATTTCGGTTTCATTGTAAGATTAGGAGTGAACATTTCGGGTTTTGGCGGATTCGGTTCGATTATATTCGAGTTCGATTATATTATATCAGTTCGATTCAGATTCGTTTGTTATTGACAGAAAACCGTTTTTTCAAAAAAAAAATCGATTTTTTCGGTTAATTTTTTTATTCATTTCGAACGCGGGTTTTTTCGAATTTAGAAAAATCATAAATGTTCGTTTTTTTATATTGGATTCGATTCGATTACGGTTATATCTTATTCGATTCTGTTATTCGGACCAAAATGAACCGCCTAATTTAGATGCAATGTGGTCACTTAATAAAAGTATATAAAGCGAGAATTCCGAAAGATAGACAAATACAAAAGGAAAAAAGCATAAGATTACAAGTTTTCTGTACTGACAAAAACACAACTAATGTGAAAACACCAAACTGTATGTTATAAAGTTGGGATATGTAATTAAAGGCTCAGATGTTTAGCCCCACAAATTACGTGCCATTGATGAATCATTATTTACAACTCCGTTTTTTTTCTCTCCCGTGATTGACGTTAAGATTACATCTGCTTCACTATATATGTGTATATATATACCATATATAATGCATATATATATATATATATATATATATATATAGATCTCTGAATCTTACTAACCCGTAGATAAGCTAGCTAATTATGGGAGGGTTTATATTTGATTGGAGAGGCGACCGAATATGTACCATAGTGTTTGATTTTTTTTTTAAAAATAATTGTGTTTTTAATGGAGAAAACGCAACTTGTTTCAACTTTCAACAGGACTCGTAATTATTTTTTTTTACAACTTAAGAGTATATTTTGGATCATATATATCCTACAATATTAATTCACTATTATCTTTTTAAAACTGGTTTAAAAAAAATCAAAATTATAATATAATAATCGTGAGGATTAGAAAAACCAAAGCAACGTTTTAGAGAGATCCTCGCTAATTGCATGTATGAAGATCGATGAAAGCCAATGGTATATTATAAGACATAGGGGTCATGTGCTGAATATTTTTATACACTTGCATTTAAGTATTTGATTATGGAAATAATTATATCTTAATATCGATTATTTCGGATTCTGATATAGTTATACACAAAATTAAAATAATATCATAGTTTCCACTACGCCATTAACTTTCTGGTTCCTTTAGCGGATCCAATGAAAACTTTGTTTGTTTTGGTTTTTTACATTTCTTACTCTTTTTTTTTCGCATAGAGTATGTTTCAACTTTTGATGGATCAACTTTTTGTGCATCTACACATATAAAATTAAAATTTAAAACCCACATCTATACATACATACATACATATATATATACACAAAATTCTAGCTAAGATAGTTCAGATAAACGTCATAGGTTTTGGTCGAGGGGGACCAGTTTTTACATGTGACCAGTTGATTTGGTTCTCAGTCTTGGCTTCATTAGACCCTCTTTTTTTTTTTTTTGTTTTTTTTTCCTAATAAGCTTTTATTAGTTACACTTTATTTTATTTTATTTTTTCTTTATATTGGACTTTGGCTAAGCCTCTTGTTGTGCAAGAATCTTTACTTGGAAGGAGGAGCCAGATAAGGTTAGTTATAACATGATCCAAAAACTCGAGATCTTGCAATAACAAGACAGAAAAATGAGAAAACTCTAGATTGTTCAAATTATATATATATATATATATATATATAGGTTGTTCACATCTATATAGTTTATCTAATATATTATATTTAAACTTGTCGGGATATATATCCAATACATTTGCACACATTAGTTAACCGATTATTTATATGGGAAGGGATATAAAATACAAACCGAGGAAGAGAAAATAAGAAAAAGAGCTAATAATTGTTGGAGAGAGGTGCGGTGGACAATAGGCACTTGGGTTTTTCTCCTTTGATGGAGGATCACACATGTGACTATGAACCCATTTTGTCTCTCTTAATTACTTACTCTTTTTTTTTTGGGTGTTAAAATAGGAATCAAACCCCACATGTTGGTCCACTTTGTATAACATAAAGCGCGAATTCATAGTTATTAATATTGCAGCTCTTGGGAATTGATATGGGGCAGCAATTATATCATGCATTTCAGTATGAAATATATATATATATATATATATATTTAAAATATTGAGATTCGTTATTTCAAAATGGCGATGTCACTTTTAGTTTAGCGTGTGAGTATGAAATTGCGATTGTAAAAGAAGGATAAATTTTTTTTCTTGTGGAAAATGTATTATTAAAGTGATATTGCATAGTGGAATCCATATTATTTCCCCCCCCCCCCCT